ATACAATATTAAAATAAACGTGCTCAATAGTATATTTGCCAGCCAAAAGAGCCCCATTGTAAACCTGGAAATATTGAATACACCAAGGTTTTATGTTACAAAGTATGGATCCCCAGCATATAGCATATATATAAACTGCTGGATTCTAATTAGCATATGTTGGGCAATTAGTATTAGAATTAATAGTATATATCACATTTCAGCAACCAATAGTTGCTGAGATTTCATCCATATATGTGATTATACTAATTAATGCTAACAATAATATAATATAAAGGAATTCACTGACTTACAACAACTTTCATTGTTGAATATGTGTTTGCGGTGGTGCTGGTGCAATTATTAGTGTATTCAGATTCAAATACATTTCATACATATCCATAATATGCAATGTAAGAGCTGAATGAAAGAGCAGGATTCTACATTTATTTAAAGCTGCATTTAAAACAATGGCCACTAAGGGGCAGATGAACAACAAGCAGATACACTAACAAAGCTTTTTAGTAAAATTTTAGTTGGGAGTTTGACTACCCAAAACAACAATCTGTTTCTTTTTATTCATGTATTTAATTTTCAAGACCATTGAACCCCTGAAAAGATAGTTAAAGAAATCATTGAGGGTACAGAAAGTATAGAAGAACTATATACTGCTCATCCACAATTTCTGCCTGATATGAGTGATAATAGGGTCTTTGAGCATTTTTTTGGCTATTCATTGACCAATTTCTCTAAGTTATCCTTGAATTGTGTCAATATTGAGTGTTAAGATAAATAATTACTTTTTTTGTGTTTCATTGGGATAGTTGTACTTTCAAGTCATTTTAAAGCTAAACAATAGAGAATGTGAAGTTGTAAAAGTTTGTGTCAGCCAATCTTATACAATAAGCAACATGTCTGCAAATTATTGTATGTATTTTTTATTTTTTACAGTAAAAACAATTATCAGACATTATTTTCCTGTGTTAAAGAATATGAACAATGTGGGTCAGTTGCCGGTATTAGCTTTCATCAGTAGGTGTCAGTATTGCTGAAGAGATGGAGGAAGGGAGGTGTGAATTATTTCTCCAGTCTACAGGCAGATGGAGCCTGTGGCACAGACATCAATAGACCTCTCCCAGACAACATTCAAAACGGGAACTCTTTGTTCAAATAGAGGAAAAGATTAAGTTCCCATGTTAACCAGCATACAACCCTCTGTGGTTTTTTATTTGAATCTGTGCCACATTAAATGTGCTGATATGTTTCTGACACTCAACATTGAGGTCAGGGGAGAGTTCAATAGGATTTCAGAAGTGACCAGTGTCAGATTTTAGTATTGTTTTTCATTCCATTGGTTTGTTTCCTCAGTCATAGGTCAGCTGCTTGGGTGATGATCCCCTTCTGTTGTTAACATCTGTTTTCTGTTCATCTCAATCCATTTGTCATTTGGCAAGTTTCAAATGGGGTTTCTACTGCCAAAAGAAGAGAATATTTATGACTTGGCTGAGTTGAATGAACTTGAGTGTTTAGGGAGGTGATTGAGTAATATTGTAAGTGTGACTGAGCTGTTTTTCACATTAAGGACAAAATGTTTCAGTTTATGGCCAGAGATTTCCAGGAACACTTAAGACTACAAGACTACTATTTTTTACGGGAATTATTCAAAAGTATAACAGTTACTTCCTGGGTTAATGGGCTTTTTGCCTATACATTCCACAATGGAACAACAATGTGGTGAGAATAAATGTTCTACATCTACATACATTCTACATTCTATTCCACCTAAATCAACAGTACTAATCAGGTTCTTCCTAATTAATGCCACAGGCTGTTATCCAAACTCTGCCTTTGATACAATTTATAATGTATTGTTCCAAATAATGGCCAACTGTGCCAACAAAATCTGAAGAGTAAAAAGTCCCATGACACATAAGTACAGAAGAAAAGCAACAGGCAGGAAGCCAACAGCAAGGAATACACTCGTTTCACATCAGTTAGCACCCCTGTTAGCTGAAATCAAGTCAGAACAAAGCTTAGATATTAAGATATTTAAGAAAAACTTTATTTGTGACTTATTAACAAAACACATTACCAGATTGATGAAATCATAAGAATCACTATTATCACCTTTACAATGATGAAGCAGGTGTACAAAAAAGTTATTAACAGATCTGCACTGTCACAGTCTACTGGTATGTGCCACTCACTGCCACACCCAGTGACTGAGGAACATTCACTATACACAAGCAGAGAAAACATCGACTTTATTTTTTTTAAATACCATTTTATGTATTTTGATGTTTTTTTTTCCTTCTTTTTCATTTTTTCTCTACTGGGCGAGGGATAGATATGGAGGGTGAGTAAATGATTTGATTTCACAATAGTGTTTGTTTGATCATCATTTCAAAGCTTAACACAACTTTAAGGGTTGATTTTCTCATCTATGAAAATCATATGGGTAAAAACAGGGGGGGGAGCATTTCATAGCATAACACAATAGCATTATGTATATCTAGAAGATTAAATTCATTTTCAACAGGATAAAAAATGTGATTCTTTTAGGTTTTTCCACAAGTTACTGTTCGCAATAATATGTGTGGGTGTATGTGTGGATGAGTGTGGGTCTTTCAATGTGTGTGTATTGTCTTTGAGAATGTGTATCAGAGGTATATGTATTCCAATACGCATTTCCCCGTGGAAAAACATATCTATGTATATATAGTATCTATATAGTATCTGTTTCCTTTGCTTATAACATGCAAACAGCCACTTGGTGATCTGACAGCACAGAAGTACACCTGAAGGACGGGGCACAGGGGGAAGGAAACGTGTGCATGGGAGGGATTGAGCCTGATAGCAGCACCTATACACCCCTACTGTGACTGGAAAGACGATGGCCTAAAAAAAGGAACACAGAGGTGAAATTTGATGACACTTTTCATCATGTTGATGCTGTTCCTACGTATATATATATATAAATATACTGCTCGCAAAAACTTTTCTTTACCCTGCTAGACCTGGGTTTCACAATGTCAGGGCCAAATAATGTTGATCATTTTACACAGTTGACACCTGGTTCGCTGCAACTTGTGAGTTACTCCCAGCAGCATTATTTTTGATGTTTATTTATATTTTTATAGAAGTATAATATTACGTAATTTCCAGCTGTGATTGTTGATCTGTGTTTGCTGGTATCGTCTTCCTTTCTTCTACCATGTCATGTTGTTTCTTCTCACTGGTGTGCAATAAACAATGTCAACAGCGTGCTTCACCTCCATTAATCCCTAAGTGGAATTTCCCCCCCTTTTAAGTCAACCACCAACCTCTTTCCCCTGCTGCTGAACTGCGCTCCACTTATTTTGTAAGTGGTTTTTGCCTATCCCAGTTGATCAACTGTTACTAATGGCTGACACACAGGAATAACTACAATACCTCACACTCTACACTCAATGACTGCTATATTTCTGACTCTTGTTTTGCCTCTCCATCTTGTCTCATCATATCCAGTAGAGTATGATCTCAGTTTTTGCTAACCTGTCAGACGTCCTTATGATGCAGTGCGTAAAACCAACGTGAGAGATGCACGAGAGCTGTCAACAATGAGCAATCAGAGGAGACACACTAGCTGAAGCGCCTAAACTCAGTTGAAGTTGAACCTAACAAAAGATGTGTTTGTGTGTGTGAGTGTGTGTAGTATATGTGCATGTGTCTATGTGTGTATTCTGTGTGTAAATATGCAAATACACAAATGTTACTGTGTTACAACGGCACAGTTCGTTGAAGGAGAGGACTTGAAAGATGTCGTCCGACCATGTTGATTTGAAGAAACAGGAGCAGAGGGAGGAAACAGGCAGCGGGCAAGCAAATCCTACAAGCACTGAAGCAGTTGAGGCGGTGGTGCAGGGCCTGAAGAACAACTACTTAACATTCAAAGACAGAAGTAGAGGGATCAGGCTTGAACAGAAATGAAGCAACAAGCAACGTTCCTGCGTCCCAGCCATATAATACACTCCCATATTAAGGATGACATTGGCCTTCAGTCTTGGAGATTACAGAAAGGGGTGTGTAATTTTTTAGTATATATTTGTGTTCGTATGTACTGTATGTCTACGTGTAAGAGAGCGCGAGAGAGCATGTGTGTTTGCTTGTCTGTATGTGTGAGCAAGAGGCAGAGAGAGTCAGTGTTTGTGTAGATTAATGTGCGTGTCAGACTGGGAGTGCAGATACACAGTGGGATTAAGACCCCATTGACCTGTGCCGTATTCCAAGAGAAGAGGCAAGGTCAGGGGCCGGTTGCATCAGCTGCACGTATAGGTTCCCTAGTTATATCCGAAGTAGCCACTAATCCCGATTCACGCATTGCTAAAACACAAGCGGTAGCACCACAAACATCTGTTACAACGTAACCTTAAGTAACAACTAAATAGTTAAGCAAGCAATAAAGCAGGTGCAAATGATACAAAGTCACATAATTGCACTCACTAACAGTAAAGCAGGATTTTTTTTCTTTTTTTTGCTCGCAGCATATTTTTTTCTTTATCAATTACATTTTTGCAAGTTAAAGGACTGTAGCAGTGATTTTGGATGTTTCCACCCATTTTCTACAAATTACACACTACTGATGACTGACTTTCTAATTGAGTTTTTATATTTTTCAATGTGTCTTTTTTTAAGCAGACTCTGGTTTCCATCCCATTCCATACAATATTAAAATAAACGTGCTGAGACTTGCTTGACATACGTAATGGATTATGTCCATGTTTAATTTAGCCATATTACATCACTGTGATTATGCAGTTCTTGCATGAATCTGCACTTCATCTACATTACCATGTGATGAAAATGTAACTTAAACAACAATAAAACCAAACTTCAATGGATTTTGAAATGCAAAAAAGTTCAGTCTCAGCTAATTTATTTTTGTGTAAAAAAACAATGGAAAAGATTACATTTCTTTTAAATGTACCAAATACAATGGTCTGTGACGTAAAGTGGATTGGTAGAGAATGGTTTTAAACGTGCAAAAACTTGTATTGTCCTTTAATAGTCAATTGTGGATTCTAATAACCAGTCGCAATTTCTATACCAATCTAGTCAACTACAAATCCATGTGGTTTGTACCCATCAGCAAGGTAATGCTATATACTGATTGGCTACTCATCTGAAATCTTAATATTATAACTAGCTACAGCCGTAGAATTCCACCTTAACTACCCATGGTACAATCGAATTTTTAACTTGCTAATTGCAAATTAACTAGCAGTTATGAAGCCACTACTTTATACTCTAACCTGGGAACAAACTTGCGCATAGTTGGTGCAACCCAGTCCAGGTCCTCAGCCTCTGCAATGTGCTATGTTACACTGAAACAGAGCTATTTATTAGAGTGTGGTCCTGCTTGTCTCAGCCACCTCAAGGGTGCTAATCTCATGGTACATATACTGTATGTTGTTACCTTTCATTTTGTTTTTATTACAAAAGACCACATTTTCTGAATTTCTACAAGGCCTCCACAATACCGAAGACAAAAGCCTCTGTTTAATTTTTTTTAGTTTGGCT